GACAGTGGTCAGGGGTAGTGTGAGAAGCAAATGTCTTCCACTCATCAAGTCAAATAAATCTTACACTGCCAATAAAATGGCATCATGACTATCAAAGCAGTCAAGAAAGAAGAAAGGATGTTTGTCACCTCTAAGAAACTGTAATGGATCACCTTTAGGTTTCTTATCATTTCTATTTTATTTTTTTTATTGCTTTCAGTACAATGTGTCTGTTCTTTTGATGGGAGGGGTAGAGAGACTTCATGTATTGGACACTCACCCCTAGTAAGCTTTTTAGATCTGCCTCCCGGAATCGGAAGGGGATATTTGACACATGAAGACGTTTTGGTCCCACAGAGTTGGGAGTAGTCGTTGTTCCAGGTTGAGCTGAAGACTGCTCGGCCTCCAAATCTGTCTGCTACAAAAACGATAAAAAAAAATTTAAACCATTCCGTTTGTGATTTTCATCCGTTAGGGGATAGCAAAAGGATGCCAAACCGTGGAACATGATCCAGAAATCAATAGTTCTTCTGTCATTTACAGCGACTTTGTGGGGGAAATTACAAGAAAGACTTCTAAGACGAAAATCGTAGTTTTATACATAAAATCAATAAGAGAAACTCCTTATAATGACCATCTGAGGCCTTCAGCCTAAAGTCTGCAGTAGACACTGACAGATCTCATCTACTCGGCCATATTTTATTCTGTAAACAATTTGTTGAAACAAAGACAAAAGAATTAACATGGGTAGAATTTCAGCTCTTGTTCAATCTAGCTGATGGACTTGATAAAGTTTTCAGATTAATCCACTGATTGCAAAACATCCATTAAATCTAATTGTTAACTGACTACAGTATCCATGTTAATTGATATGAAAGATAAGTGCATCTGATCCTACAAAGCAGCTAGCCCTAAGTTTTATGTTTCAAATCATACATAAATATATATTCTAAATTAGTCAAGGCATTTGTCAGATAGGCGATCAAACCTAAGAAAAATAGGTAATATGATAGTCAATACTTCATTACAAAGTGATTTTGCCCTTTTTTGCATATCTAATCACCCATTTTTCTGATTCGATATTGCTTTTTTTTTTTTTTTTTTTTTTAAAACATCACCGATAAACATTTCTGTAACAAACTTTATGTAAAATTTAAGCATTTTGGAAAACCAGTACTTCTTTGCTCTCAAAAAAGCAATATCAAAAACACAGTCTTCAAATACATATATATGTGTAGAAATATAATAACTGGATTTGCCAATACCCAAGCTCAAACTGGAAACAAAAAACTTTCAAATCACCAAGTCCTAATCTCAAGGCTTGATATTTTGGGGGGATTTTTGCAGCTAAAAAAAATAGGTTAGGATAAGAGAGCCTTGAGAAGCCTTGAGAAGAGGAAGAAAACATGATGCAAAGTAAAAAACCAAAAACATTTAAAATAAGGAGAAGGAAAGATACTCTTAAATGTCATCATTTCATGAGAACTTCCTCAATGTTGGTTCTTAAGTTCTTCATTTTTCTTTTTCTTTTCTTTTTTTTTTTTTTTTGTTAAAGCACTTCCTTTTTTCACAGAAAACAGTCATCTTGATTCTACCTTCTCCCTATCTTGAAAACTAAAAAACCTTCATGTTAATAAAATAAACTAAAAACCATCTTCCAAACACCACACACTGTTATATAAATATTGTGATAAATAGAAACCATACAGATCTCAGAGAAGCTTGAGGATTTGACCTTTTCCCCTAGAATTCCCCTATCTGTAAAATATCCTATAGGTCAACTCACTAACAAGCTCTGGGAGTTGTATGGTCTCGCTAGACCCTTATGGTCCAAAGTTTCTGAATAATTAATATTGGTATTAGCTAATTTGTTTTTAAGATGACTGGGGGATGGTAGGAGTGTGTTTATAACATGCAGTAAGTGATGAACCTTGTTGATCCCTGCCAGCATTTCTTCATAAGGGTATGCTCTTGGAATTCCCTAAAATAAAATTCACATACATGTATAGAAAAGAAACGCTTACCACTGACCTAGTAACATGAAGACTGAGAGATGTTCTTAATTTAAGCTTCTTTAAATTTCATTTTTTTTGAAGAGGAACATTTGAGATGAGTATGAAATATGAAGATATGAAGTATCTTAGACTTAGCCTACAAGGAAGAGTTTTCATATTAAATTTCTTCTCCTCATCACACTCGTGGCTATCAGATTGTATCTATGTTTAGAATGAAGTGACTCATTCTACTTTCAGAGTACACTCTAATCTTTGGTATTGTCTTGGCACACAAGCTTCATTACAAGAATTTCTCTCTTCCAGAGTAAGAGATAAACACTACTTACATGACTTAGTTTATCAATCTAGATAGAGGAAACATCTGATCTGTGTAATATAATGTTTCTTTATACAGTCACTGACGAAACTGAAACTGTACTTTTATCAATTAGTTAAACAAATTGAGAAATCTCTTTTGATGTTTTTCTCTGACCGTTTCAACTCTTTCATTCACTAGCATTTACCAGACTAAGAGTATGATAAAAAAATGCAGTCAAGCATGACAGCGGAATCACGATGAGATATATATAGGGAGATGAAGGCACAATGCTGGATGATTCTTAGCACTATTACATCAATATAATTAGACTTTAGATCTGTGATAGTGTCAGACATTGCTCAAGTAAATCCACACAGTTAAATAAGCAATCGATACTTCGGCTTCAGAGCCCTCGTTATTCAACGGGGAACATCTAGTTACAAATTGAGCATTCATCTACACACAAAATATGACCAGCGGGACTATACACTTATAACTAAGTTATTTTCAAAGAAGCTGTTTTCAAATGTGTGCAAAATAGATAACCATATGGGGAATCAATACTGATGTCAGACAATATAGAGAAACTATCACAGATTTTACACATCACATGCTAAACAACAAATTTACCAGAACATCTTATTGAATCTAAAACAAACTGTAACTTTGAAAGTGAATCTCTGCTAATAAGGCCACAATGGTGCTAGAACCACACAGCAGCAAATTATATTGGCAGACCTATGGCCAGGCAAACTCAATCAGGCTCATGCCTAGAAATAAAGAGTTGAAACGTACACTGAGACTTCCAGGTCTTACCGTCTGCTGTTCGACACCCCCATTGGCAGCGACTGTGGTGGTGGGGTAGGTGGCTGAGTCGGCTTTGAATGTGGCAGCCTGTTCTGCTGAGGGTGCCACAGAAACTGGCTGACTAGTAACTACGACTTGTTGGGGGTGGCCATATTCATCTATGCCTGTCTGTGCTGCATAAGGATACGCAGATGTCATTTGATTCTGCACCATGTGCTGTAAAAAAGAAAAGTAAACAATTAAGCAACAAACAATGAGTAACCATCATATTTACATCAGTCACAGATGCAGAAAAAAACACAATGATACCATGTCTGAGTCCGCCATTAATGACAAATAATGTACACCACACCAAACAAAAGCTCAAGCCTTCCTCAACTAAGTTACAAGTACTCACTTCCTTCCTACTTGATGTGATCCTATTCCAAGTATAACTAGAACATGCAGTCTGAACTGCACATAGCATGAATGTGTGCTAAAAGCCTATACCCAACTACCACACCTTAGTCAATGAGCATCAACCAAATTCTACCTAAATGCAACAGGAAATTGAGTTTAGGTGCAAACTAATACCATTCTGATTGTTTCACATCCCATGTCAGAACAAATTTTGTTTAAATTGTTCAGTATGACAGTTTTGGCTTTGTGTGTTACAAGTCCGTTGACAGATGTCAACAATGAGTCTAGACCAAGTGATTTATTTGTTTCACATTCGACAGCTCCACACCGTTACATTTTATTGCTGGAAAATATGCTTCAATAATCATACAATCATCTGTTAAAAAATTGTATCTCTTTATATTAGACAACCTTTAATACAGCTGACTCAAATACCAAGCACAACAAGAGCACTATAATTCTCTAACAATTTCAGGTTAATTGCGACACATGTAACAGTTACTATATTACAAAAATCAATGTCTCCATTATACAGCTTTAACACAGCATACTGCCCTTGGGCTCAAAGGTAACTTCCTATAAACATCACATATGTTGTAAAATCATCAACTGCTACAAAATGCTGGAAAAACTGAACTAAACTAATGATGAAAAAAATAAATTGGCCTGCAAAAACCTTTACATTAAACACATAAACTGAAATGAAATACAAGAACATAAAACAGACAATAGGAACCTGACAAATCTCCAACCTTTTTGTCCAAAGAGTTGAGAATGGGCAATTTCCCCCTTATCTCTGCCATATTACGATGTAACAACACAGGCACCATGGTAAGGAATGATCAATTTTAGGCCTTGCAGAGAGCCTCATGGGTAACAATTGAATTAGCATTCTTTCTCTTCAGAATAACACCCTCTGAAGCAAAAATCTGCCACACAATTTCTGAACAGTTTAGGCAATAGCTGAAGAGATGCCCATGACTAATCATTCTGCCTTATTAATACTGCTATGAACACTGCAATGGCCTCATTGTTTGACTATGCATAAGAGCAGCACGAAATTAATTAAAAAATAATTATCTTCCTAGAATTTTTTTTCTCATTATTTACCTGAAAGGCCACTGGAGCTCGAATCATGGCAGATCCTAACACCATCTTAATGTTGGTGTGTATGTATAATCCAAAAAAAAAAAAATCTCAACAATACACAAAGCACATCCACAACAGCTGCAGCCCACTTAATATTCACCAAAGAACGAAGAAGTCACTACCACATGACAATGTTTCCATGAATATTGGGAGAATTCTTCCTATTGGAGTACTATGTGTGATTCAGTGGTAAATGATGTCAATTATTGACCAGCTGAAGAGGGGACTACTGTCACTACAGTGTGTGTGTATAATACAGCTTGGCAGACATGATATAACCAGATGTGACACCTACTTCCTCTACATATCCCCGTTAATCCTCTTTTAGTCAATAAACTAGCCATAATATCTGGGTTGGGAGCCCCTCCCCACTGGGATTTTGGTCTTTGTGTATGTACACATATGGGACTATTAAAATTGCCTCATTAACAATTAATTATAGTTCATAGTCCTACGCCATTTATTTTTGATACATATGTACTACAACTATAAACTGTTGTATCAAGGGCATATCTTTGCTTTATTTGCATGGTAGAGCATTAAACACAAATGATACTTTGCAAACAAATTAAACAATTGAGACAAACACTAAAAAGATAAATTGTGACATTATAATAGAGTTATTTTCTAATAGAGTTATTTTCCCCCCTTAGTATTTGATAGAAAATTTCACACTAAAAGTTAAGTGGGAAAAAATCAATTTAGCTTCATTCATACAGCTTTTTCCCCTGAGAACTCCCAAGGGAGAACTTCTCCATGACAGCAATTTGAATAATGCCAATAGGTATATTTACAATAGAGAACATATTTCTGACTTTAGAATGACAGTCTATTAATAGGAGGGTTATGATTACATATAATTTACTTCCTTTATGATATAACAAGTTCCAAAACCATTATAATTGCTTTGGTACTAAAAACATACTTAGCACAGAAATGAGGATTTTCAGGGTGTCCAATCATAACTTTTCATTCCCAGTGTGAAGAAACACGCATATTTCCATGGAAACCAGCTTAACAGCTGTGAATAATACACTGGTCATAGCTTTGTTGCTTGATAGATAAATATATTTTCGTTTCACTGATATATAAATAAAATAACAATAATTTGTAAACCTTCTAAGATGAAGTAAAAGAATATTTTAAACTAAACAAAGAAATGGCAAGGTTAAAATATTGAAATATTTTACCATATTCAGAAATTGCAAGTCCGACACTTGATTCGCAGTGGCTCCCAAAGAATGCACTGGTAACCACATTTTGTTTCTGAACTAGTACTGTACAAAATGATACTCCCATACGAACGTTATCTACATTATACGGGCATTAGAGCCAATTTGTATACAGTATGAAAGGTTAAATATAATACTCATATTTCATGCACAAATTACACTTATAATACAGATAAATTGATTTTCTAATTAACCATAGCCTGAATATATATATATACCTGTTTTGACAAATTGTGCGAGTCAAGCTTATAAACACAAAATTTCATACAAGGACACAGCTGGCCCACATCATATTATTCTACGTGTATAATAAGTTTTAACATCCCTTCATAGCAGTCAAGTGCCCATTACATAAGATATAACTTTAACTGTACGAAAATGTTGAAAATAACATTACCAAAGCTTTGGTCAAAGGAGCTCCTGGCCACATCATTGGATTCATGTTTAAATAAATCTCAACTTTACTCTTGGAAATCACACCATTCAAAATGGCGGTGTGTTATCAAAAACTGAAGCTAAGGGAACAAATGTGCTGGCATCTGGTGTAAATTAAGCCCCATCTTGTCTATGGGGGTCATATGGTATCTACCAACATCCATTGGTTAACAGCAGGTTCCAAACTTGGAGTTGGAGCCGTCTAAGATAAGGGGGTAAACAGGGAGGCTGTGAATGGCTTTCTTGAGAACCAGCATCTCATAAAATGGAATCAAGATTTTTCCAAAACTGTCAACAGAATGTATCCTCATTCATTAGTTTTAGAAGTCTGTGATAACAAACCTTGACTCAGAGTATGATTTATGATATCTTTACATTGAGGCTGGGAATACATTCAGAATGATCCATATCATTTCTGAGTTTATCACTGCCAGTGCAGTCAAACCTTATTTTTTTTAAAGGCTGTATCATAGATTTGATCCTAAACATACCCATACTTCTTCATTTATAGACTCCCAGTCATTTTTTCTGTGCTTGTTAAAAACTTTCTGCCCTGGTTCAAAAATAGGATACATTTTCTGTGATTTTACCAAAATATCAAAATATTAGGAATAGCAGACGGCATCATAATATCAGAAATGAAACTTACATCCTGCCAATCAAAGATTCCATTTCAGAAATCTACAGTTATTCTGTACATATGCACATGTAAATTACATATAATCTATTGATGCTGCAGAGGAAGGGAAGTAACTCTTATTGCTACTGAGGACAGAGTTTAGTTTCTTTGGTAACAAGAAAACTTTGCATGACAATGATTGATCTTTTTTTTATCACTTTAAATAATATTATTTGTGTTTTAATTTCCTGGGTGTCTTGAAGGCTTGTAGTATATTGAGTTGCAAGGTATATTACTCTTTCAAACATCTGGGAGATCAAAAGCTAAGATTATTTAGATAGATTGAAGTCTGATATATACATGAATCACAAAGGCCATCTTTGAGTCAATGGTTGTAATTATAAGCACATTTCATGGATCAACAGTGGAGCACAGCAGATTGGAGATTTAATTTGATTTCCTTCTTGCGACACTAGCCCTTCAGAACTGACAGCACGTTTTGCATGTCGAACATAGCTGTGTTGGTAGTAGGTACTATGCTTTATTTGGGTATTTAAAGGTACCCGACACCTTTAATCATCAGGAAACAAGACACGAGAGTGGATAAAAGTATTAGAAGGTACAAGTCAATGTAAACAAACACAAGCTGAAGTCAACCCCTTATTTCAATCACATTTTGTGGACAGTCATAAAATTTTACAACATAGATAACACATCCATTTCTTAAACTTTATGAAATTTGGCCATCAAAAGAATATTTACAACAGCCCTTATTGACGTTAATCTGGAGTTTGGGTTTAATCTTTTCAAACTGGAACACACCTGACCTCAAGGGAACGCTCGTCAGCTGCTCTTTCAGTAGATATCTCTTTAGTATACAGCATGTTAAGAAGAGACTGGATAACTAATGACCTTCCACAAGATATACCCTCTAGCCTTTTTTTTAGCTATCTTTCATTGACCCATCCTCTCGCTAGGTCAACTTTTTCTTTTACAGCTCGACAAAATACCTGAAGGGAAACAAATGCAGCCCGAGCCACAAAAGAAAACAGAAATCAATAGATTTCATTTCCGTGATTTATAGCCAGCTCCCATATATTGATTTTGCAGTAAATTACACATGAAAAATGTGTACCCCAAAATGAATTCACCACTGCGTATCACAAAGAAAAAAAACCCAACAAAGATGTAAACAAGACAATAATGTCAATTGTCAAACAAAACACTAAAAATTTGCATATTATACTCACAGGTGCTATAAGTTGTGTTGTCAATAACATTCCACCACTAGGAGGAAGATATTATAATGAGATACACGTACATCTGACCGAAGCACATACAAAAGTCAATCACTAATTGATAGGATACACACACACACGCAT